GTCCTTGGGCCAATTAAGTGACCTGTGCCAAATTTCATCCAGATCGGATCAGAAATGCGACCTGTACTTTGTTAACAAAAATACATGGACGGACGGACAGACGGACGGACGGACAGACGGACATGCATAAATCGACTCAGAAAGTGATTCTATGCATATTCTCAAAAGGAACCATGGGTCTATCTCGATTATTTTTGCCTGTTACAAACATATGCACAAAGACATAATACCCTGTACCACAGTGTGGTGAAGGGTATAAAAACGAAAACAAAAACAAAAAACTTTAAAATTCTGGATAATTGCAGAACTCTTCCGTAACAATTTAATTAGTTAGTGTTAATTAATACAATGCGGATATTTATTGTTTATCAAAGTCTATTTTATATCAAGCAAATAAATAATATTTATATCTTTGTATGATTTGAACTATTTATTGCTTGAAAGAGTATGTATGTATGTATTTCTACTATATGAAGATCTGTGCTTTGTAACAATATTTTTTTTCGAGTCACAATTCACTCACTTATTAAATTATAAATGATAAAATCACAAGTCGTTTTTCTGTCCATTTTATCTATAGGCGTAGTAGGGTCATTCACATAATTGTTGGGTGTTCATTTAATCTATGCTACATTTTGAAGTGTTATTTCGTTAAATGTTATTATCGTATATCCAGAGTAATTCTCTGAATGAATTGTACACTCGTAAAAGATAAGAATAAATTCTTATCAATTACGAGTCATTTATATTCGCTTAACACGCAAGATTCGTTTCGTTACCCTACAAAGTATATCCAATTATGTGGTTACAATACAAACTGGTTTGTCGCCTAGAAGGGCACTCTACATGCGTAGCATTGTGTTTTATACGATGTAAAATATGTTTGACGAAGCATCTTAAATAATTCTAGAAAATTGAGTACCAGAATACAAAAGTAGTGAGAAGAAATATCAGAAACGATAAAATTCCTTTTCCGGTGGTACTTCAGAGTAGTTTCCATCGAAAGCGTCGACATTATAAAAACTCGGCATAACATCTAAATTGTTATATTTATATTTGTAACATTTATTATGAAAAAATTCTGATAAATATATCTGTTACCTCAGAGGAATCTCAAATATAAGATTGCAGTCGATTCTGTTAAAAAAACGAGTGCAATGTCCTCAAAATACAGAAAATTGCGATTTACCGTATGGGGAGTATACCCAATATTAGATAAATATTAATGAAAACCAACAAATAAAAACGCAACTAATTTTATTCTCAAAATTCCGAAAAATTGAGGTGCTGTTATATAGGTTTATATCTCAACGATCACCGATATAATCCATCTTCAAACTTGAAACAAAAGACGCGTCTATGTTTTTCGCTTTACTAAAATTATTCTATTCCCCTTGCCCCTCTCTTCTACAAACAAAGACTTACCGCAAGTAAACTTGTGTAACATAAATTGGGACATATGATAACAGCTTGAACATACCGAAAAATACGTGAGAAAAAGATGATTAAAATTTTTAAAATATATTATAGTGGGGCTATCGTTATATGGGGCTATAATAAAACGAGGATCAATTTTGATATTTTAGTAGTGAGATTTAACAGCCAATAAGAATACAAAATAACAAATTACAAACAAATTCGGTTAAAAAACGGGCCCAAAATTCACAAAATACCGACTTGGGTCAATATTAATAATTTACCGTTAAATGTGGGCTACAAAACGTGGACCATCTGTGCTCTATCATAAATATTACGATCTTGAGTTATCGTGCCCGACAAAAAACACTGTTTCGCGTTTAAAGTTTGAGAAGCACTCTGTCGCCGCACAATGCTGCCTCAATAAATCGGCTATATCTTCAAGACTCGTTGAGATTTTCACTTGAAATTTTATAGGAACATTCCTGAATTAGTTTGCTAGTACTCCCCTTTTCCCAAAGATACTTGGTATCTAAAGAACGGATGAACATTTCCCATGACAGTCCGTCCGCTAAAATTATAATCGCTAATGCTTTGAAAATTTGCACATGCATTGCTACTGCTTCTAGGATGTTCGGAATTGAAAACTTGACATACGGTTAAAGTTTTATTATAGCTTTCATATAGCGATACCGACTCAAGCATTTTCGGAGATAAAATAAAAGTTCCTGCTTCATTTTTGTATTTAGAAGGTCTTTAGCCGCATATCCCGACGGAATTGGCTGTAATTCGGGGTTTTTGGAAGCTGACAAATAAGTAAGCCATATAAAATGGCCTTCCATTTTCGGTATTTTCCAGGTTATTGTAAAGATTTTTACAGCACATCTCATTAGTTGTCATTCGGCATACCGGTTACATGGAGGGTTAGAAGCATATTTGCAGAAAACTTTTGTTATGGATATATAAAGAACCCCCCACCTATCATTTTCGGTATTTTGAGCATTTCACCTATTTTTTTTTTTTTTTTTTTTTTTGATGCTGACAATTACTTAGCGTATTTTGAGAAGAATCGACATGGAATCGGTCTAAATTAAATATGTGATTTACATAGATATATGTATCAATTTAAAGCACCCCATGAAGATGCCATTCTGAAATATATGCAAAATTGCATGTCAATCGGGCAGACTTGGGGTCTATGGTGTGCAATTTTTGTATGAAATCAAGCAAAACTATGTATTAGAGCCATATGTAAACATTTAAACAAATTGTTAGGGGATAATTTAATGAAATCGGACGAACAAATGTTGAAGCAAAATCTAAATATATACCCAATTAAACGAAACCCCCCCCCCCCCCCCCATTCTCGGAGTCAATTTTTTTTTTTTTTTGATTTAATTCGAATCTACACTAATTCAAGAATGTCCCTACAAAATTTCAAGTGAAAATCTCGAGAACTCTTGAAGATATAGCCGATTTATTGTGTCAGCATCAAGTGACGGCTAAAGAGCTTCTCAAACTTTAAACGCCTTTTTCTCTTTTGCGAATGGCGGGCACGATAACTCAAAAACCAATACCCCAATCGATTTCAAATTTTTACACGTTTCTCTGTGAGTGTAAAGCTATCGTATGAACTAGGATAAAGGCAATCTGTAAAGATCTTCCTTATTTTTTAACTTGGTTTTTGGTCAAAAAAACGGCGATTTTCCAAAAATATTTTTTCAAAGGTCCGCCATTTTGTTAATTTTAGAGCGAAGTCAATAATCCGAGAGCCAGAAATGTACTCTTTCTAACACCGTTGGAATTTTCTGAATCCGATGTTCCAGTGAGGAGTTATCATGCCCGCCATCAAAAATAAGGACTTTTCTTTAATTACAGAAAACAACAACAAAACAATGACAAAAAAATTTGTAAATTATTTTTCTTCTCTTTTAAATCTTCAAATATATATGTGCAAAGTTACAAACCTTAACAAGCATTGGTATTGATTTACCAGCCCATTGAAAATCTTGAAAAATTAAAATCGAGAATGGGTGGGGTTCCCTTAAACGAAACCTAACATACATTATATGTTATCGGACAAACTGTGTTATCCGGATAATTAATGCTACAGGTCCCATTTATTACAATTTAACGGACGGGCATGCATAAATCGACTCAGAAAGTGATTCTATGCATATTCTCAAAAGGAACCATGGGTCTATCTCGTTTCCGTTTGTATGTTACAAAAATATACACATACCCTTCACAGTGTGGTAAAGGGTATAAAAATATCAATATTGGTTCAATTTTTAGGGGAGGCATCATATCACCGTACCTTCCACATTTCGATATTTGGGGGTGTTTGAGAATGTTTTTCAACTTACTATTTTGGATTCACATTGATCTCCCTACGAAACAATTATCAAAATCGACCCATGATTTAGTGTAGCAGACATATAACTGTGCCTTCCATTGGAGATTAATTTCAACGGAATTGGCTGTAATTTGGTATTTTTGCTTCTCATTGAATAGTAATAGCTTTTGTGTAGCCCCCATAAACCTACCAACCAAATTGGCTGTTATTTGGTATTTTGTGTTCTCCTTACCATAAATACCAAATCTTCATACGGTGCCCACCACCATTCGGTAATTTTGAACACGTTTTTCAACGGGTTAATTGGTGGTCAAATATGTTTACCAAAAAATGTATCATGGCATCACCCCCATCACCTCCGGATCGATTTTAGGTATTTTGAATGTTCACTTCATGATGGAGGGTATAAAAAGTTCGACCCTGACGAACTAAACGATGTTTTTATTTATGTTACATTTTAATTGAAAATCATCCTCTCCTCTTAAATCCATCAGCCTATTAATTATTTTCAAAATTAATTTCCCAAAAAATATATAACTCATTAACAAGTCGATCACTGCCACCATAAAGTTCAGTTATAAATTTTAATGAGTGATCTCTGAACTACCAAAATGTTTGGTTATTGCGCCTGACTAAACATCGCGTCGACGTTGGCGCTAACGTCGTCAACAATACCGACAACGAAGCAATGCGGGAGTATCTCAGTTTCGTTGCTACCTTTTACAGTAGCAGACTCCAAAAATAAACCAAAACAAAATAATAACAACAATAGAAATATTAACAGTTCAGATTTCGCTCAAGCAGAAAATTTGACAAAGGCAATTATAAAACGAAACACCGACACTCTCCAACACAAACTCCGTCCCTCTCAAATTGACTGGGGTACGTAAAAATTCATTGAGGCACCTTTTGTTTCGATTCGATTATTATCATCACCACCATCGTTTGTTTGTTATTTTGGGCGCGCAACAGACGCTGGCGCTGATCGACAGACACATCGATCCACGGGGATGTAAACAAAGCAGCAACAACAACACAATGTATTTAGTGAGTGTTTTAGTAGAACTTGAAGAAGCAGCAGCATTTGCTCAGGTTTTATTATTATTTATTATTGTTGTAACAAAAATATAAACAGTTTATCATAAGCGCTTAAAGACATCGTACATACTGCATATCTCCCTTCCTAACTGCATAACATCACGCCGCACTCCATTCCATTCATCCGCGTTGTGGAAATGTACCAGAATGAAGCAGCTAATAGTTCTTTTTGTTTCATAAATCGTTGGAATTTGCCACAGAATGAAGACTATCAAAATGAACCGACCTCAGCCATACTGGACTATTGTAAGCGTACGGTAAGCTAATCATTTTATTTTTTCTCCTCCATCCCTCCCACTCTCTCGTTGAATTGAAATAATTATTATTTGTTTTGTTGTTGTTGATTCATTGCTGCATTTCTTGGGAAACTTGAAAACTTCCACCATCAGTTCCTGCGCCCCTACATGATCATTTTATCGCTGGTTGGCCTCAATCCCATATCGACGGACACGACAAAATGTCGTTCATTTTTAAGTTATTTTCAGTGTCTCAGTTTGGTGGTGGTCCTGATATTTGGTTATTTTTTACAGTATTTGTCATCGTATCGGTAAGTTATCGTTGTTGTTTCAAAATTGCTCATCACTTTGTTGTTCTTGGAATATTATGCCATATTTATTTATTTTTATCTTCTTTGTCCGACAGCGGTGATCGTGGCTTTTCAACAAATCTCAAAAGTCTCCACCTAACCGATGAAAATGCCTCATTGGCCGAACTGCCCGACTACAATGCCTCTCAAACAATTGGTGAACTAATTTTTGGCTATGTCATACCATTCCTACTCGATTTGGCGGGCTATGTCTCAGCTATTATATGCTGCAAATTCATCGATCAGGAACAATTACAAAATCTCATTGAACGCACTTTCCTGATGTCAATGCAACCGAAACGTTTATGCCGCATTCTTTGGCTGCACATTGCATTGGCTTTCATTCTGTTCGGTTGCCTCTATGCTTACGTAGTGCCGGTGGTTGTAATGCAACCCACCATTATCAAGGTCAAATGGTTGACTCACATGGAAAGTGATCTTGGACTATCAGTAAAGGTATGTATGTACGAATGAACGATGAGGAGGGAGTCTTGTGGTAGTGTAGGTCCACTGATAAGCATGATGTGAGTGAAGGGCCCCCTCTTTTTTAATTACCATTTATTTATGTGTGGGATAATAAATAAGTCTGGGGCCTGTTCTGCTGGTAATGTAAATCACTGTCAGGTGTGTGTGTGCGTAAAAATAAATTCAGATTCGAGGTAGTAGTGCTGAAGAATTTTATGGGCAAATATTTTATCACAAGAAAATTTATTCATGTTTATTTTAGTGTTTATGGAACGATAAAACAATGCCAAGCTGAATACCCTACACCGAGGTGTGTAGAATTTTTAGTGGTTCCAAAATTTGGAAACACAAATATCACCACCCCATCCTGATTTCCTCTTGCTGAAATCAGCATGGGATGGACTGTATCGAACTATTCACCAGAGAACCCAAAAAGTATCCTCCATCACAGCAATAGGCGTGGATTTTTGAAAAATATTTTTTCAAAAACCATCACAGCAATAGGCGTGGATTTTTAAAAGAATATTTTTTCAAAAACCATCACAGCAATAGGCGTGGATTTTTAAAAGAATATTTTTTCAAAAACCATCACAGCAATAGGCGTGGATTTTTAAAAGAATATTTTTTCAAAAACCCTCACAGCAATAGGCGTGGATTTTTAAAAGAATATTTTTTCAAAAACCATCACAGCAATAGGCGTGGATTTTTAAAAGAATATTTTTTTTAAAAACCATCACAGCAATAGGCGTGGATTTTTACAAGAATATTTTTTCAAGAACCATCACAGCTTTACACGTGGATTTTGAAAAGAATATTTTTTCAAAAACCATCACAGAAATAGACTTGGATTTTTAAAAGAATGTTTTTTTCAAAAACCATCACAGCAATAGGCGTGGATTTTTAAAAGAATGTTTTTTTCAAAAACCATCACAGCAATAGGCGTGGATTTTTAAAAGAATATTTTTTCAAGAACCATCACAGCTTTACACGTGGATTTTTAAAAGAATATTTTTTCAAGAACCATCACAGCAAAAGGAGTGGATTTTTAAAGAATATTTTTTCAAGCAAAATCATAGCTTTAGGCGTGGATTTTTAAAAGAATATTTTTTCAAAACCATCACAGCAATAGGCGTGGATTTTTAAAAGAATATTTTTTTCAAAAACCATCACAGCAATAGGCGTGGATTTTTAAAATAATATTTTTTCAAAAACCATCACAGCAATAGGCGTGGATTTTTAAAAGAATATTTTTTCAAAAACCATCACAGCAATAGGCGTGGATTTTTAAAAGAATATTTTTTCAAAAACCATCACAGCAATAGGCGTGGATTTTTAAAAGAATATTTTTTCAAAAACCATCACAGCAATAGGCGTGGATTTTTAAAAGAATATTTTTTCAAAAACCATCACAGCAATTGGCGTGGATTTTTAAAAGAATAATTTTTCAAAAACATCACAGCAATTGGCGTGGATTTTTAAAAGAATAATTTTTCAAAAAACATCACAGCAATTGGCGTGGATTTTTAAAAGAATATTTTTTTCAAAACCATTACAGCAATAGGCGTGGATTTTTAAAAGAATTTTTTTTTCAAAAACCATCACAGCAATAGGCGTGGATTTTTAAAAGAATATTTTTTCAAAAACCATCACAGCAATAGGCGTGGATTTTTAAAAGAATATTTTTTCAAAAACCATCACAGCAATAGGCGTGGATTTTTAAAAGAATATTTTTTCAAAAACCATCACAGCAATAGGCGTGGATTTTTAAAGGAAAGTCCCAAGACCCATCACGCAAGAGGCGTAGATTTTTAAGAAGAAGAACCGCCACAGCAATAGGCGTGAATTTTTAAAGAATCATTTCTCCGATCGTTAAAGTAACATTTTTATTTTTGTTTTCAGATACTTCTCTTATTAACAATTGCTGCACAAGATATTATCGAGATCATCATACTGAGTAGCTACTGTATCGAATGTTATCTACTAAAAATACATTTGATGACACTATCACAGAAGTTGCTATTGCATTCAATAGACTCCGTGGATTGGATGAGAGTAAGTAATTTAATGCATATAGCTGAACATGGATATATTGAACACCGAACAGACTTCGCATTATCCCGAAAAAAAACAGATTTTAAAATATTTTTCGTGGATTGCCCACATTACACAACGAAGTTCATATCTTAATTTCCGATTGTTCGTATAACCCATGTTCGACTGTATTACTTAACTCCTTTACTTTTGTTATGGTTCTCTTGTCTTAATCTGCCCTCTCTCTTTACAGGAAATTCTGGAATTTCGTAAACTATTGGATCGTCTTAACAATCATGTCTCCATACCCGTGTGTTTCTTTATTGTCATGAATTTGGCATATGCCTTTGCCGGTTTCATTTTCATGTTCAAAGATTTCGATTTTCATTATTCGGCATTGAAAATTGTTATATTGAATTTTATAAATGTTGTTCTATGGCTATTGCTCGGCCTAATGCCATTCTTTATGGCCTCCTCGCTAACGCATGCCTGTCAAACGGTTAAAGGTAATGGACATTTTTTGCGTGTACGTCCATTCCTCTATCACAATACCTCAACGGATGATCTCAATTCGATGCTAATGTTTGCCTCCACTCTGGATATGTCAGCGAAATTATTTCGAATGCCAATACAATCGAATTATCTGTGTTTTGCCATACTGGTGCTATCCATTGTGGTGCTAACCATGGGAATGTGTTTCAATTTAAGTCTGTTGGGAATGTTTTAGGGAAAATTGTGGGATGAAATTGATGTTAATTTCCTTTTTCCACTCCCTTCAAAAAATAGTATTAAGTATTACTTACGCCAAAAAACGCCCTTGTACATATGTGTATGTTATGTTATTAGTAAAGCAAAGTGATATATTTTATAATGGAATTACCTTAGATGTAAATAATAAAAAAAATATGTATTGAAAATATGTGTAATCGTGTGTTTTTTAACGGATATGGCATTTCCAGTAATTTCCTACTAGAAAAACGCGCAGTGGTTATGATGCAAGAAAATCATATGTAGGTAAAGGATATTGGTTTCGATTTACATAATGCAATATTTGATATTATATTATAATTTCCTTCAATACGTTTTGAAGAAAATTAGAATGTATTACAGCGCAGTGATAGGGGTGGATTTCTAAAATAATATTATTTTTCAAGGACCATAACAGCTTTAGGCGTGGATTCAAGCTACATCACAGCTTTAGGCGTGGATTTTTAAAGAATATTTTCCAATCAACATCATAGCTTTAGGGGTGGATTTTTTAAGGAATATTTTTTCAAGCAAAATCACAGCTTTAGGCGGGGTTCTTTGAAGAATATTTTTTCAAGCAAAATCACAGCTTTAGGCGGGGTTCTTTGAAGAATATTTTTTCAAGCAACATCACAGCTTTAGGCGTGAATTTTTAAAGAATATTTTTCAAGCAACGTCACAGCTTTAGGGGTGGATTTTTTGAGGAATATTTTTTCAAGCAACATCACAGCTTTAGGCGTGGATTTTTAAAGAATATTTTTTCAAGCAACATAACAGCTTTAGGCGTGGATTTTTTAAAGAATATTTTTTCAAGCAACATAACAGCTTTAGGCGTGGATTTTTTAAAGAATATTTTTTCAAGCAACATAACAGCTTTAGGCGTGGATTTTTTAAAGAATATTTTTTTCAAGCAACATAACAGCTTTAGGCGTGGATTTTTTAAAGAATATTTTTTCAAGCAAAACATCGCAGCTTTAGGAGTGAATATTCAACTTTCCAAGAATTCAGAATGCCAAATTACAGCCAATTCATTGAAAAATGGCTTTATATCCCTCCAGCCATTTCATATCCTTTCAAGGTAAACTACAAGGACAACAATACCTTCCAATACTGTACGGTGTAAATTATAACAAGCCCTAAATAGGCTATGAAAAAGGCCATGAAAAACTATTTAAATGTCATACGAAAAAAATCCGTTTTCATTTGAATTTCAATACAAATTGTGTTCAACCTATTTTTATAATTTTATAATCTAATTTTTATAATTGTATTAAAAAAAAATTATTGTGAACGACCATGGCACCCGTTATTAAAGGTCAAGAAATTTTAAACGCCCTAGATGATATTCAAGAGCCTGCGAACTTGACGAAATTTGTTCAACATCTTGCCGTCAATGAGGATAAACCAATTACCACAACATTTATGAATAAAGCCAAAGCTGCCTTGGAAGCTGGCGTACGATATGGTTACATTGGAAAATTAAGAGATCGTTATTTTGTTCCCGATGTTGCTGCCGATAATATTGAGGGTAATTTGGAAGAAGCTCTGCCAAAAATAAAGAGTATGGAGAACATAACTTCAGATGCCAATGAAACAACAAATCAACGAAGTGCAAGAAGGGGGCCACGAAGAAGAAGGCGACAATCAAGCAGTCGTTCTCGTAGTCGTTCATCGCGACGAAGTTCTAGACGCCGTCGTCGCCGTTAATATGTATATCTAAATGATTTGTGTGTGTAAATGTATAAATTATTATGTGGAAATACAAATTTTGAATATTTGAAAATGTTTTTCTTTTTGCAAAATATTTTTTTTGAGGGCAAAGATCGTGGATTTTTTTTTAGAAAAATTTATGTAAGCGAGGATTTTTTAAAGGATAGTTTTGCTAGTCTTTTCAATGCGTAGATTTTTTAAACAATATTTTCGAAAGGCGTGGAGTTTTTAAAGAATATTTTTCCCAGACTACCCAAGGCGTGGATTTTTTAAAGAATATATTAACCAGCCTTCCCAAGGCGTGGATTTTTTAAAGAATATTTTAACCAGCCTTCCCAAGGCGTGGATTTTTTAAAGAATATATTAACCAGCCTTCCCAAGGCGTGGATTTTTTAAAGAATATATTAACCAGCCTTCCCAAAGCGTGGATTTTTTAAAGAATATATTAACCAGCCTTCCCAAAGCGTGGATTTTTTAAAAAATATATTAACCAGCCTTCCCAAGGCTGGTTAATATATTTTAAAGAATATTTAACCAGCCTTCAAAAGGCGTGGATTTTTTAAAGAATATTTTAACCAGCCTTCAAAAGGCGTCGATTTTTTAAAGAATATTTTAACCAGCCTTCAAAAGGCGTGGATTTTTTAAAGAATATTTTAACCAGCCTTCAAAAGGCGTGGATTTTTTAAATAATATTTTAACCAGCCTTCAAAAGGCGTGGATTTTTTAAAGAATATTTTAACCAGCCTTCAAAAGGCGTGGATTTTTTAAAGAATATTTTAACCAGCCTTCAAAAGGCGTGGATTTTTTAAAGAATATTTTAACCAGCCTTCAAAAGGCGTGGATTTTTTAAATAATATTTTAACCAGCCTTCAAAAGGCGTGGATTTTTTAAAGAATATTTTAACCAGCCTTCAAAAGGCGTGGATTTTTTAAAGAATATTTTAACCAGCCTTCAAAAGCCGTGGATTTTTTAAAGAATATTTTAACCAGCCTCCAAAAGGCGTGGATTTTTTAAAGAATATTTTAACCAGCCTTCCCAAGGCGTGGATTTTTTAAAGAATATATTAACCAGCCTTCCCAAAGCGTGGATTTTTTAAAGAATATTTTAACCAGCCTTAAAAAGGCGTGGATTTTTTAAAGAATATTTTAACCAGCCTTCAAAAGGCGTGGATTTTTTAAAGAATATTTTAACCAGCCTTCAAAAGCCGTGGATTTTTTAAAGAATATTTTAACCAGCCTTCAAAAGCCGTGGATTTTTTAAAGAATATTTTAACCAGCCTTCAAAAGGCGTGGATTTTTTAAAGAATATTTTAACCAGCCTTCAAAAGGCGTGGATTTTTTAAAGAATATTTTAACCAGCCTTCAAAAGGCGTGGATTTTTTAAAGAATATTTTAACCAGCCTTCAAAAGGCGTGGATTTTTTAAAGAATATTTTAACCAGCCTTCAAAAGGCGTGGATTTTTTAAATAATATTCTAACCAGCCTTCAAAAGGCGTGGATTTTTTAAAGAATATTCTAACCAGCCTTCAAAAGGCGTGGATTTTTTAAGGAATATTTTAACCAGCCTTCAAAAGGCGTGGATTTTTTAAATAATATTCTAACCAGCCTTCAAAAGGCGTGGATTTTTTAAATAATATTCTAACCAGCCTTCAAAAGGCGTGGATTTTTTAAAGAATAATTTAAAAAAATATACAGTGGTGGTCACAGAATTAAAACATTTTCTGTGGTAAACATTTTTTGAAAATCCCTCGATTCGTTTGAAGTATTTTTGAAAATTTTTTAATTCAGAACACTTCGATATACTGCACTTAAGAGATTTAGTGTGAAAATGGAAAATTATGGCATGCAATTTTTCCATAAATAACGGTTTTTATGAAAATGCATCGACTTTGAAGTGGCCATATAATTAAAACATTGTGTGATTTTTTACTTTACTGCATTTTTTGAAAATATTTTTAAAAAAGCTCTTTAATTTAGTTAAATTATGTAAACTAAGCACCGATAAAATCATTTACTGATAAAAATTTTTGAAAAAATCTGTAAAATCTATCAAAATTACCAAAAATTCGTACAGTACACTTTACATTGAGAAAATAACCTTTATTGTAGAAAATAAAGGTCCGAATGCACCAGAAACTGCTAGAATTAGTAGAAAACAATAAATTATTCTCAAAATAATAAAATATTTGAAATAAAAACTGAAAAAATGGGAATTAACCTTAAGGAACGATTCAATTTCGATAGCCTTTATTGAAGAAGGCCGGAATATTTTTGCAGTATGTGAGGAAATATCGATTGATATTGGCATTTATTATATCAAATCGATTGTTGGAGTAGTACAGAATATATTTTATCAAAAAATATATCAGTCACAAAAGAACGAACAGAGATCAACACCTATGTTGACGAGAAAACGTTTCTGGTACACAGCAGCATTTTTGATCCTCAACACAAGACTTTAAATATTTGTCAAATTGTAAATTTTTTCTTTCTTTTAGGCTAAAATAGATTAAATGGACATTATTTTATTCAAAAAATATTATTTTGGAAAAATATGTTCATGTTCAATATACTTTAAGGGTCAAGAGTTAACCATCAAACATGCTGCTGTGTACCAGAAACGTTTTCTCGTCAACATAGGTGTTGATCTCTGTTCGTTCTTTTGTGACTGATATATTTTTTGATAAATTATATTCTGTACTACTCCAACAATCGATTTGATATAATAAATGGCAATATCAATCGATATTTCCTCACATACTGCAAAAATATTCCGGCCTTCTTCAATAAAGGCTATCGAAATTGAATCGTTCCTTAAGGTTAATTCCCATTTTTTCAGTTTTTATTTCAAATATTTTATTATTTTGAGAATAATTTATTGTTTTCTACTAATTCTAGCAATTTCTGGTGCATTCGGACCTTTATTTTCTACAAAAAAGGTTATTTTCTCAATGTAAAGTGTACTGTACGAATTTTTGGTAATTTTGATAGATTTTACAGATTTTTTCAAAAATTTTTATCAGTAAATGATTTTATCGGTGCTTAGTTTACATAATTTAACTAAATTAAAGAGCTTTTTTAAAAATATTTTCAAAAAATGCAGTAAAGTAAAAAATCACACAATGTTTTAATTATATGACCACTTCAAAGTCGATGCATTTTCATAAAAACCGTTATTTATGGAAAAATTGCATGCCACAATTTTCCATTTTCACACTAAATCTCCTAAGTGCAGTATATCGATGTGTTCTGAATTAAAAATTTTTCAAAAATACTTCAAACGAATCGAGGGCTGATCAAAAAATGTTTACCACAGTAAATGTTTTAATTCTGTGACCACCACTGTATATGTATATTCAAATGGAGTATTTTTTCTTATGACATTTAAAACACTTCTCAATTTCAGCACACAGCATTGTAGTAAAAGGTATTGTGGCCTTGTGTTTTTGTGATATGTAAATATATGTTTTCTTCTTCTGAAAATGTCCAAATTTGTCAGCCTCTTATGTGTCTACCCTTTATACCAAAAATAAAATAAATTGTATTATTTTTTTATAATTTATTTATTTACATTTTAAATAAAATAATTTGAACTAAAATCTTGACAAGAATCAGTTTTAAAAATGATAACAATAAAAAGGAACAATAAAGCCATTTGTGGGTCATATAAATTATATAAGGAAATAATTCAAAAACAAGTGTCATTTGCACGATATCAAATCGTATAGAAATTAAACGGAACCCCCAAAAAATAATTTTAAAAAATATGTAATATCAATAATTAGCTGCAATGTCTTCTCTTACAAAAAAACACAATCTCACTCTTCTTTTTTTTTTTTTTTTTTGTATAATTAAAAATAAATCAAATATTGCTTCTCATTAATCACAAGAATACATTTTTAAAAACATATAAAATAAAAGAAATCAAAATTTCCATTAACTTTAGTTTTTAGTTTCAGTTGTTTTGTTTTGTTTTTTGGTATAGAATTTTATAAAATCAACTAATCGCTTATTGTGATGATGATAATAATCTATTGCTGATAATATAATAATTTAATCCATTATGGACAATTAGTTATAGAATGCACTTTGGTTTAAAGTAATACAGTGTTATTTGAAGCGATGAAACATTCCTTTTGTTTGTTTTATCTTTTCTCACATCTCTATTGTACTTTTCAGTTACAGTTATATTGCAGGCCTTTTACATTTTGCTATTTTTTTTTGTTTTCTTTTCTCTCTACCAAATCCAATTTATATAGTTATTATTTGTATTTTGTTAAATTCTGACTAGCACATCACCGCATGTCTCACCAACCCAACCAAGGTGGATGATTAATTTTTGATGGTGGTACAAATGTTAAATTAACTGGTAAATTTATACGAGCATATGATCGTTTTAGTCGTTGCAGTGTATTTTTTATTACCACACCATTACGACCAAGTAAATATCCAGCTGGTATTTGCGTATCTCTATCGGTTTTGTCATGTATCATTTCTATGTAATAATCAAATTCGCTGGATTCACTATTGAATTCGGTAATAATAGCCGCCAGGGCTCCAGCCATTTCGGCATTAATTGTTTTCGTTAGAAAGGAACATTCTCTGGAAAAAAAGGAATAGAAGAAATTAAAAATATATTAAGTTATTTTTAAATATAAGACTTAAAATATTAGAACAAAGTATTAAACTGCAAGTTGAAAATCCGGAAATAAATCATATAGAATATATTAAATTTTCCCCAGCTTCTGGGGATTTTTTTTTTTTATATAAAAAAATTATCCCCAGCTTCTGTGGATTTTTTCTATATATAGAAAAAATTATCCTCAAAAATCCCGAGAAGCTGGGGATAATTTTTTCTATATTAAAAAAATCCCCAGAAGCTGGGGATAATTTTTTCTATATAGAAAAAAAAAATCCACAGAAGCTGAGGATAATGTTTTCTATATAGAAAAAAAAAATTCCCAGAAGCTGGGGATAATTTTTTCCCCAAAAGCTGGGGATAATTTTTTCTATATAGAAAAAAAATCCCCAGAAGCTGGGCATAATTTTTTCTATATAGAAAAAAATCACCAGAAGCTGGGGAACCCGCGAAAAAGTGTTTGATTTGTATTTCACAATAACATTAGAAATTAATTTCTCCCAATTATGCGTGACTTCTATAATAGAACAAACAGTTCAATTAAGCGGGTATCGGATAATTGGTTCCTCGGTTAATTGAACAAAAAATTTTGCAAGTTTTGATGTGCAATTAACCGAAAAATACTGTATTTAGTATTTTATTATTATATTGTAATATCCAATTTTGATGTAATTTGGACGAAGACATGAAAATTTTCATGGAATTTGGATGAATATAAACAATTTATAGGTCCAAAAAGCGGATTTTTCAAGACCCTTTGTATGGAAGGTATATCAAATCTTTGGTCCGTTGCTTCATAGGCATAAGTAAATGTAAATTGCCAATTTTCATTGATTTTTGTTGAATTTTAAAGATTTTATAGGCCAAAAAGGGTGACATTCTCAAGGACCATTATATGGGAGGTATACCAAATCTTGGTCCGATCTATCCAATTTTTTGTCAGCCAATAATAATCACATGTACCAAATTTCAAAAATGGAAGGAGTTAACTTACAATAACTCCTTCCATTTTTGAAATTTGGTACATGTGCTTATTATTGGCTGACAAAAAATTGGATAGATCGGACCAAGATTTGGTATACCTCCCATACAAAGGGTCCGCTGGTTATATGAACTCGCGACATAGTGCGACGGACCTAGCTCAGTCCATTGTCAAAAGAAATAGGACTGCTACTACAACAAATTAAAGCCAATTCAGTTAACAAGTGAATAAGCGTTAAGTTCGGCCGGGCCGAACTTTAGATACCCTCCACCATAGATGTACTGACAGGTACTAGAAATGAAAATATAGGGAACATACCAAAAAGTGGACCTATACCGACATTTCTATGTAAACTATAATACAAAATAAAATGTAAATCGAACCTAGGTCCTCAGAGCAACACAGATGTTGCCAAGACCGCTTAACGTTCTGAGCCATCAACACTTCCAAAAAACGGTTGCGCAAAAACATGTGTATACCAGGAAGCAATTGTAGGTGTGTGGATTAATTATCCATCGCTACAACAAAAATCTGCTTTGAAAAGGACTGTTCCTAGAATGAAGACAAATGTCGAACTTTGACAAATTTGAATTTAATTCGCATATGCAAGTTTCGCATCAGGGCGGAATAAATACAAGTTATCAACGTACGACCTTTGTAAAGCCACATAGCCCAATATGCCTGATGAGCCGCTTAACCAACGGCGAAACGCGTCGCATAATGGTGGGTACGTAGGTTCTTCTCCTGGCTTTCCTTTTCATTGCAAAATTTAGATCATCAAGCTCCACTCGAAAGAGTATAAATAATCACTTAAAATCACTTTTCAAATGGTCACAAAAATTCAAATAACACAAATTTCAGAAATTTTTAATGGATAATTATACCCTCAGCCTTATGGCTAATGAGGGTGTATACAATTTACAACGTGAAAATGTGCCTCATCGAAATATTGGTTCTATACCCCATGTTTCTTTGGACCAAATCCGTTTCAGAAAATTTACATTTCATCCAAACTTTGCCAATCTTATTATTTCTCCCAAACTTAGTTCAAATTCGAAGATAGGGAATATCGGTCCACTCCTTCTGGTACCTCCCACTCAGGGGCTAGGTTTAAATACGGGTTATAGTTCATATATAGTTCATTATCGAACCTTACGTTCTAGTTTTTTATCTCGATATCCCCCACCCCTAAAAAGCGGTGAATATTAATCATTTTTGGTGGGGAGATTTGTTACCATATACGACTACAAATTACCAAATTTCAGCGAATTCGGTTGAAAAACGCGCTCAAGAACCTCAAAATACAGAAAATTAGGAGGTACCGTTATATGGGGGCTACCAGAAAAAGTGGACCTATACTAATAATTTTTTGTGGAGGCATTTAGTACCCAATAAGAACCCAATGTACCAAATTTCAGCGAATTCGGTTGAAAAACACGCTTAAGAACTTCAAAATACCGAAAAATGGGAGGTACCCTTATATGGGAGCTATGCCTAAACGTGGACCGATATAGCCCATCATCGAACTTGACCTGCCTGCAGACAAAAGACGACTCTATGCAAAATTTTGGGGCTCTATCTCAATTCGTTTAGACGCTAGAGTGATTACAACAGACAGACGGACATGCTTAGATCGTCTTAGAATTTTACGCTGATCAAGAATATATATAGTTTATAGGGTCGGAAATGATTATTTCGATGCGTTACAAACGGAAAAACAAAACTAATATACCCTCCATACTATGGTGGAGGGTATAAAAAATGTGTAAAAATACCGCAAATTTGAGTACCGTCGTTGGGGGTTATGCCCAAAAGTGGACCGATAAAGCCCATTATCGAACTTGGCCTGCCTGCAGACAAAAGACAACTCTATGCTAAATTGTAAATCTGTAGCTAATCCTCACTTTTTATATCTATTCAAAATGAGCCGTGGGCTCCCATTTCAAATGTCCACTAAAGGTATAAACCTATGATGTTCACATTCAAATAAATATGGCTAAAGCATATGATAGTAAATCGTTCTGGTGGTCTAAATATTTATCTACCCTGTTTGACGTATTTTTCACTACAAATAAATGCCTTATTTAAAATCATTAAACACTAACACCTCAACTTACCCTCTATCGATGAGTGCAACATTACCACGTAATGCACGTTTATTTTCAATTTTTGTGCAACCATCCGATGGTATGGTCGGCACTAATGCAACACCCTCCAAACGCTGTGAAAATGATGTGCCAAAATCCTTCGATGGCCGTAAACGATACGTGTACTCCAACGAATAGGGTTCTGTTATTTCAAAGAAAACATCACCAGCTATAATATCCTGGGTGGTAACAATATCATTTAGGGGTGGATGATGTGAATCACCTGGAAATTAATTTCGATTAGAAAACATAAACACGCAAAATCTTATCTGCATCAAAACTTTATCAATTAATCCCAACATACATACCCAACATGCCAGAGACCAATTGCTGGCCTAATGCCAGTATCAACATGGCCACAAAAAATATAAATTTACCGCAGGTTTTTTCCATGTCAACATTAAATTTTTTATTGTTTTTTAGTTAATTATGTATGATTGTAAATATAAACATAGTCAAGTTTAAGCGTTTTGTCGAGAAATATCCATATCCCTTTAATAAAATCTAAACAGCTGATTGGGATGCTTCTTCTTGGTTGTAAGGCATTCACGTTGAGTTGTTAGTTTCATATACAAAAAGAAACACAATAAAAAGCGTTGCCGTTTTCTATATAATTATTAAAATGTTACGACACGTAGGTTGTGTAGATTCCGTTATAAATATTTTGGGATTTAAGATCAAATTGAGTAAATCTTAAATATGGGATATGTCCTGCCATTGAAATGTTTTCAATGTATTTTGGTATTATCCATTCGACATATCTACGTTTGAAAAGAAGTTTGAGGTTAGATTTCAAAGCTCACGAAGTTTTGAATGAAGAAAAAAGGATACAAGACATACATTGACCAGATTTTTACTCAGCGCCAGATCCTTGAAAAGACCCACGAAAAACACATCGACACATCCCACCTATTCGTCTACTATAAAGCCACACTCGACAGCCCTATCCGATCAGAGGTGTTTAAAGCCATGTCTGCGTTCGGCATTCCTGCAAAAATAATAACGCTATGCAGGATAACTTTAACTGGCACAAGGAGAGCAGTTAATAACGGAAAGTACCTCTTGGAGCCTATCAATACCAAACGTGGATTCAGACAAGGTGACAGTTTGTCGTGTGACCTGTTCAACATCCTGCTGGAAAAGGTCATACGAAATGCAAATGTGAACAGAAATGACACTCTGTACCCCAAAAAGCATATTTTACTCGCCTACGCCGACAACATCGACGTAATGGGTCGAACATTGCGAGCGGTAACAGCCACCTTTGAACAAATTGAGAAGGAGTCTGCCAAAGTGGGTCTGACAGTAAATGGCAAGAAGACCAAGCTGATGGTATCAACGCGCAAGGCGTCCCGTAGACTCGGACCAACTGTGGAACTTGAACACTACAGCTTCGGGGGTAGTGAACGATTTTATATACCTCGGTACCGCCAAAAACAAAACTAATAACATCAGTTTTGAAATCCGGAGGAGAATAGTGTTGGCCAACAGATCCTACTATGGTCTAAGTAAGCAACTCAAAAGCAAGACCACCTCTCACCAGTCCCATGCTGTTGTATGGGACTGAAGCATGGATACTTGTGCAAGCAGATGAGGCAGCTCTTGGAGTGTTTGAGGGAAGGGGAAGTCCACGAATTAGATGGAAAGATCAAGGAGAAGACAACATCTCGTTCAAATTGCATGAGATGCGCACAAGACTGACGCGCCTATAAATCTTTTTTACGCTCGGCTTTTGGAACAGCCGTTCTGTCATAATCCAGCTAAGTGAATGAAGAAATATTGAGTAAATCTTAGAAGGTGTATGTCCTGCCATTAAAGTATTTTCAATGTAATTTTTATTAACCGTTCGATAAATGTTGGAGAAGATGTTTTAGGTTAGATTTAATAACTCAGCTAGGACATTTTTGACAAAGCTGTGAATGGGAACTGGAGTATCCTGTTATAATACCAACAATTAATTTCATCTCCTTCTTAATTCCCAGTTAATTTCATCTTCGCCTATTTATAAAACCTATCGATTTCATCTAATATAAAACAATATTTTTATTATTAGTCCTATTTGTAGAAACCCAATTGCGTCTAAAATATGAAAACTGTAACATTTTCTATTATAATTTCATTTATTTTTACATTAAGTTAATGTATAAAAAAATAATTTAAAAACATTATAAAACATAACCTAACAAATTGACTAGAATCAAAGTACACAGCACCCATCAACTATTGCTATCGCTTTTCCGTTGTATTTACATTTAAACGATCGCGTAATATCGTCCTTATTGTCTCCTCCTTCTGAGCTAATTTCTTTTCCATTTTATCAATCTCCTGCAAATGACGAGCATGTAAACCACGAACTTGAGATTCTTTATGTTTGACAATAGTTTCCAAACGCTTGAGAGCATCCCAAGTACTTTGTAAATTCGCTTGACCTTCTTCTAGTTTTTGAGCCCATTGTAGAGCAATACGAAGTCGTGCCCGCAAACGATCTCGTGATTTTTTCACCTTTTCTGTTGAACGTTGCAGTGAGGCATTCCGTTTCCGCAACTCTTCCAACTGAGCAGAATGTTGTTCCAATTCTTGTTTTAATTTAGCATTTTCATCTTTAAACTTTACCACTTGATGATCCGCACTGGCATGTCGTTCGGTTAGCTCTCCAATTGTACGTTCCAGAGAATGTTTTTCTTTGCTATGTTGTTGGCGTAATTGTTCGAGCAGTTCTTTGCATTCTTTTAGTGAATTGGCTATGGTGTCTTGGGGTAACGCTGCAATACTTTTGAGAGACACCAATTCTGCTTTACATCTGGTATATGCATTCTGTAAATGTTCCATGTCCAAAACCAAAGTTTGTATCTTCTGTTCATAACAGTGCATAACTTCGACCAGTTTTTCTTTGGCTAAATCAGTTTTGCGGGTTTGAGCTTCAGCCTTTTGCCGGCATATGTCCAGCTGGGCCTGAAGTCGGGCACGTTCCTCACGCCAATTCCCACCATCTCTCTTCAGCGAATCCACTTGCTGCTGTAAACGATTATTCTCTTCCAAAACTGTTTTCAACTCTCCCGTAAAATGTTCAAATTCTTGGGTATATTGTTGTATTAAATCTTCTTTGTCGCGTATCATTTCATCGTAGGATTGCAGCAGTGGAGCCAATGTATGATTACGTATTGGCTCCTCTTGCCACTGTGATATGGAAGATTTATTCGCACCTGAGGCACTGGCAGTCTTTAGAGTTTCTTCGGAAGCTAATTTCGATTGGCGTAATGCATCTTGATAATGTTCAATTTGTACATTCAGACGGTAGACCAAGGTCTTCATCATATTTACATCGGCAGTTAATAAACGATTATCTTCATCACTTTTCTTTAGTTCACTTTCCAAACGATGACATTTGTCACAATTTGTTATTTGTTGTTGTAGGTGGGCGATTTGTTGTTGCAGAATTTTGGCCTCGTGGAGTAGGCGTTGATTTTCATCGGCAAATTGTTCGTTAAATTTATGAACTGTCGCTAAGCGTTGAAGAAGTTTTTCCATTTGTTTGTCCTTCGACTGGAGCTGAAATGGAGGGAATGGAAATATTTTAGTAATTTAGTGGAAAGTAAAGTGGAAAAATAGAGGACTATGCAGTTCATTTGATTGAGAGAATTAAAATGTTATACAACTGGTCAAAAATTAATATAAGAATAACACAAGTACAAATTTCGATAAGTTTGGTCGGATCGTGACCAACGCGAGGTGGATATTTAAGGAACATAAACACGGTCGTGTAATTTATATGTGGCATGTCATAGACTGCTGGAGTTTTTTATCATCTTGGAAAACTAAATATAAAATTACAGGTTATCTGTATATGGAAAGTTTATAAAAAAGTGGACATGGACGTTAATGTTTAACATTGAAAGATTGAAATACAATATTAAATTCAAACCAGGAACAGTGTGGTAATGTTCTATGGTGACTATACCAAAATGTTATCCTAGGCTGAAAATTATCTGGCAGGAGGTTTTATTATCTTTAAGAACCTGAAACGCATGCAAACCCCAACCTTTAAATTTAATAATACGGACGGCATCTTCATATGGAATTTTATTAAATATTGGACCATCATTGATAATTCGTTATCGTAGTAGTAGTTGATTCTTGTAGTACGGGAACAAACCATATAGTAGTATTTCCAAACGCGAAATATAACATAAAATCGCCCAGATTTACATCACAGGTTTATTTCTGGGTACTAGAGCCTTCAGAATATCAAGCAGATATTGAACTGAGCTTCTGCACCTATTAATTTGCGGATAAAATCAACTGAAGTCGATTTTCTTCATTGTTTACCAACATTTTTCACATCATAAACTATTTGTCCGGAAACTCTGTATTAAAGACTTTGCTAAATCACAACTTACCAAATCATGAAAATAGCTAACATGTTTCACATTTTTATTATTTATCCTATCACCACAACCACCACCGCCACCAGTCGATTCACCGCCACGCAGCAGTCTTTCCTCTGGCTTACATTCAGCACTCTGGGAACGTCTTGTAAAATTCCCAGATAATGTTTGTAATTGTTTTTCTTTGGTACGTTTTTTGTGGCCAACCTTACGATGTTGGTCTTCTTGCTGTTGTTGTCGTTGCTGTTCATTGTCGGATTGATCCAAATCGGTTATGATGACATTACGACGTGTTGTTGACATTTTATTGAAACAAATTTGTTGTTATATTAAAATTATTTCAAATAAATAAATTAAACGTGTTTTCTTTTTTATTGTCTATTATAACTTTGTATTGTGCCAGGAAGGGTGGTGTTAAAGGACCTCTGAAGTTCAACGTTACCATGGTAATGGTTCAACTAGACATTGGCGCGTTAAATATGGAAAATAGGGTTGTCAAAATAGAATTTGTGGAATTTGTTTATATTTGAATCTTATTTACGGAATAAGGCAAGCATTAGGAATAAAGTAAAATCGTTAAGAAATCTACTTATTTTTTTATTTATTTGCAATATTTCTTCTATAACCTCCAAATTATAAGTTTCTCAAAATATAAATTTCGAAAATTTTATTTGTTCATCAGAATTGCCATCTCTATATGAAGTCCTGAAACAAGGGTTGAAAATGTGGGGAAGAGGTTTGCCTGGTACGGTTTAAAGTTAACCAGAAATTGACACATGCGAACATGGACATATTTAAATCCTATAATTCATAATTAAATCGGTGAAAACAGACATTAATCAAGATCATTTATATTTCCAGTAGCACATTTCAATGTACATATGTTTAATATCCTGAAGGTTCCAGTGATCGAAAACGAATCTGTAGTGCACTTCTGTATTTACACCCTTCACCACACTGTGGTACATGGTATTATGTATTTGTACATATGTTTGTAACAGGCAAAAGGAAACGAGATAGACACATGGTTCCTTTTGAGAATATGCAT